ACCTGCTCCGTGCACAGCCGGGCACTGGATCCCCCTCCCGCGGGGCACCCAGGTCATGGCCATCAGCGCCCCGCTGCTACCGCAGCCCCCAGCACCCTCGCTCCCAGCCCCGGGCTCCTCCTGGAGCTACGAGGGGTGCGAGCAGGGTGCCGGCACTGCTTTCCCACCGCCCCGTGCACAAGAGCCAGCCTGTCTCTGCTTGGGACCCTTGCGGGTGACCGCAGGCGCCCAGCACCGGAGCCTGCTCTGGGTCACATCGGTGCCGCGCTCTGCTCTGAGCCCGCTGCCCGCTGCCCTCCGGCCAGCGGCCCTTCCTGCAGCCCTGGGGGCTCCCCCCGAACGCTGCAGCCCCCTGCTCCATCCCGGGGTAGGAGGCAGGCAGAGGGCACCGGGGCTGCCAGGCGCCGAGGGGGCGTGCGGGCTGTGGCGGAGCTGCCTGTCAAGGGCGGCCAACGAATCCTGGCTCATTCCTTTCCAAGGGGGGAAAAATACCGCGCTCATAAACCCCTAATTGGCTTGGCTTGGCAGACGGCGCCGGAGCTGGTGACAGCACCCACCGCATGATGCGTGCTCCCCGGAGGCGCCGCTGACCGCCAGCTGCCTGCAGCCCGGACACACCGCTGCCCGCTTCGTCTCGGCCACCGCCAGCCCCGCTCCCTGCCGCCCGCCCGCCTGCACGAAGCCCTCGGCCTCGCACCAGCATGACGGAGATCCAGGACCTGGCCTCGCAGGCCTCGCTGGGCGTGGTGTCGGCCACCTGCGTCTCCAAGGTGGAGCTGCGGGTCAGCTGCAAGCACCTGCTGGACCGCGACACCCTCAACAAGTCCGACCCCTGCGTCGTGCTGCTCATGCAGTCCCAGGGCCAGTGGATGGAGGTAGGCGTGCGGCACGGGGGTGGCACGGTGGCGGAGGCTCCTTGCAGGGCAGGGGCCGATGCACCTTGGACCCCGCTCCGTGCATGGGAGATGGGGACATTTCAGCATGGTGGACATGCCCGGAGACACTGAGCCTGGTGGGGCGGATGCCTGTGCACACCTATATGTGTGTGTGCACACGTATGTTGTGGCCGGTGTTGCTGCACAGGGTCTCTGGGTTCCCGTGCACGGTGCTGGGGTGCAGCCGGTGCCCGGCGTGGGCATCCCTCGCTCTGCGGCTGCCGGGGGGGGGCGAGGGGTGGTGGAGGGCAGAGCAGGGGGCCGTGGGCTGGGGCAAACGCCGAGCAGCAGACAAAGCCCTGCTACCCCCAGTGCTGTCTGCCCGCGGTCCACCCTTTATTGCGCGTGCTGGGGCAGGCGTCGCCCGGTGCCACGCATCCTACACGGCCGTACCCATGTGCGCTGGGTCCCAGGCCCCCGCGCTGCCTGGCAGACCCCGGCCCTGCTCCCCACCGCCGCCCGGCTCGGGGCCCCGGCCCCCCTGCCGCACCCTGCGGATTATTTGCAGCTCCTCCGAGCCGGCTCGTTAATCCCCAGGGCTCAGCGCCTAATCCCTGCCCCGGGTAATCGACTCCCGCCCGGGGAGGGGGCTGGCACCTGCGGGGGAGCAGGCAGCGGGTGCTTGTTCTGGGCCAGGTTTCGGGTGCTGGGGGCGGGGGGAGCAGACTGTGGGACAGTTAAGTCCCTCCGGCCTTCACCGATGGCTCCGTAAGGCCGTCCCTGCTCCGTGCCTCAGTTTCCCCCGCAGCTGTCCTGCACCGGGCTGCCGACCTCCCTGCACGCCCTGGGCCGGCAGTGGGTGATAGCAGAGGCAGGGCCGGCTGTGCCCTCCTGGGGGCCCTGGGCATGGGGCGGGGGGCTGCTGGCGGGGCGCCCTCCCCAGGAAACCATCCTGTTGACTCAGAGCTGGCAGGGAACGTGTGGTG